AAAACAAAACAAAACAAAACAAAACAAACCTGTTCATTTGAAAGAGTTCAGTTTTGCACTTTCTTGTACTTGTGATTCTAGTAAAAATAGTCTCTCAAGCTTTCTTCTGGTTCTGTTATTCTATTATCACATGTACTAATTTTAGCTGTCAGCAGGGAAAAACAAATAATATTATTTTTCAGTGTTTAGGTGATAATTCATAGTACATTGTTGAGTAAAATGATACATAGTGGCCTGAGAAATCATCACACATCTACACCAGTAGAAATGGACACCACAGTGCTTTATAGCCCCTTTCCCAGAAGTACGCATATTAATTGCAACATACCAGAAAACCAACACTTTCTCAACCTAATTTTGATATTGAATAATTTTTGTTTAATATACATTTCTCACTGGACTATAGCATACATTTCAAGGCCAAAATTACCAACATTATTTTCTACAGAAATGACCCCTAAATTAAGCATTAAATAGAAATGATTTAATGATTTGTCAGCATTGGTTTACAAGCCAGGAATGTTTGTGCCATGTAATTGACATTGACCTTAGAAAAAATTGTAAATTTCCTTCCTCTATTTCCCCCTTTTATTTAGGATATTAATGAAAATCTTTTATGTTTCTGTAGTGGGAAGTACAAATTTTTAAAAGAATTATTTTATTTAACTTTATTCATTTATTTATTGTAATTTGATCAGAGAGGGACTGAGAGAGAGAGAGAGAGAGAGAGAGAGAGTGAGAAAGCAAGACACCAGGTCTGGAACTCAAAACACAGTCTGGCATGAATAATTTTTGTTTAATATACATTTCTCACTGGACTATAGCATACATTTCAAGGCCAAAATTACCAACATTATTTTCTACAGAAATGACCCCTAAATTAAGCATTAAATAGAAATGATTTAATGATTTGTCAGCATTGGTTTACAAGCCAGGAATGTTTGTGCCATGTAATTGACATTGACCTTAGAAAAAATTGTAAATTTCCTTCCTCTATTTCCCCCTTTTATTTAGGATATTAATGAAAATCTTTTATGTTTCTGTAGTGGGAAGTACAAATTTTTAAAAGAATTATTTTATTTAACTTTATTCATTTATTTATTGTAATTTGATCAGAGAGGGACTGAGAGAGAGAGAGAGAGAGAGAGTGAGAAAGCAAGCCACCAGGTCTGGAACTCAAACCGCAGTCTGCCACATGGGAGTCCAGTGCCCTTAACCACCATGCCACCTACTGGCCCCAGAAAGAATAAATTTAATAGATGATTATAAGAAATATTTTCTTAGCCCCTCAAGAGTATTACTGTACCTTTCTGAGCCCAAAGAAGGGAATGTTCTATGAAA